GTTTTGCCCCTTTCGCCGCAGTGTAGTAGCGGCGACACATAGCACGCGCAACGTACGCGGCGCCGGCGAGTTTTTCCGTAGAGCCATCATCACTGACAATGAGTAAAATATCCAAATATCTGAACAACTAACCTTAGAGTAAACAGCACTCGTGAGGACTGAACGTATGTTCATACCCAAGCGAAACATGAGATGAAAGTACTGATGAAGAATCATGGACTGAACCATTGCAACAATAAACATTGCACTTGCTATGGAGATACCAAGCCATAACGGCTGATCGCGATTCTTAAATGACTTAAAGTGGTAAAGCGAGAAAAATGGAAAATCACAAAAGTCGGAAATCGGAACAGTGTCCACAACGGCATCAAGAGAAAAACAGCGACGAATAGAATAATAAAGCACAAACCTGAATAAAACTGATGAGATATCTGAGCAGGGCGGGAGCGACGAATTGTAGAATGTCAAACGTGAATTTGAGAAGAGCACCCGAAATAAACGAGAACTTGTAGGTTTGAAATAGAGGCACAAGAATTGACGGATGATTCTTTGATGGTCCTTGAGCGCTGAACTTTGGTTTTTGCTCGGCATGCGTTTCTGAAAATCGAGAAATCCCTTTCTCTCCATTTCTTTCCTAAGTCGACTTAGATAAAGGTGAGAGAAAAATATTATGGGGAAAAAATGGAAAAGCTTTCATTTTCGAGGCTCAAGTAAGAACGAATAAGCCTTAAGAAGTTTCATTATAGATGAGGCCTTCCACACCATTCATTTTTCTTTCATTTCATTTTTTTTCATTTCCATTTTTTTTCTTTATGGACGTTTTTATTTTCTTTGTTATGGCCTTCAGTAACCAGATCCTGAAATCAAAAAAGTAGTTTACGAGATTTTTTTTGAATTATTCCGCGAAGCGGCTTCTTTTGCCAATCATGCGCGAAGCGCCATCTTGCACATGATGGACTCCATTGCATGCCCAACCCCCCAGATAACTCCACCCCTTTTTGCCGCGACACAATTTACACTCACATTAAACACATTTTACACTATATACTGCATCTATAATAGTTTTTCACACTTTTCATCTATTACACATATAGACCACTGAACACATTTTCACTATGTAGTACATTTGACCCCACCCCGACGACCCCGCCCACTTATTTTCGGGAATACTGATGACAGACATACATTCAAATAAATAAGTAAAAATAAGCAAGCTCACCAGGAAATTGACGCTTGAAGTATTGATAAAACTGCGGTATGAGATGACTGGCTCGATCCCTCTCATTTAGAGCCCAGAGATCATCACGTTCCAGAGGTCTTTTGTAGCCTTTCACAGCTAAACCTGTGAACCATTGGAAAGTGATCTGGTTGAGGAACGACGTTGATAACTCCGGGCATATCTGCTTCTAAAAATACGGTAGAATCAAGCAGGTAGCCTTAAAACA